GAAAGCGAAAAACTGTAAAAAAAACTAATCGGAGACGGCGGCTGCGTTATACCTACTGTTTCCTTCTTCTATCAATCATTGCATGTGCTTTTCAGATCAAAAAGCGAGTGAATGGAGTGTTAGGACGGTTATCGCGAGACGAACTCAAAGAGTTGTTACGACGCGACATACAAGCAATAGATGACGTACTTGGCGAGAAGAAGTTTCTTTTCGGTGGAAAAATGACCGTAGTACGTGATTTGACGCTAAGCTTTATAGTAGTCGAGCCTGGGCCCACTCTTGCTCAGCATTCATAATTTATACTTTTATGGAGAAGTTTTCCAAGTTTGTGAGAATTGAACAGCGGAACCACATTTTAGGACTCCAAGAAGCACTAAACACGATATTTTCGTTTTGGGACAGTGTGGTTATGCATCTGTCGAGCAGAAGGCAAGATGACAGCTGTCTCAAATGAAAATATCTCAAGAATAGCGCTTCTTGCCCCACGTTCCCCACATTCGAATGAAGCACGCAACCATACCTACCGTGTCTCAAGAGTGTGGAGTTTATTTCTAGTTGATATCGCCGCATTCAGTCGGGGCGGTGTCAAGATAGCTGAAGTGAACCCACCTGCGGCGTTTTCTCTACTGGTTGCACTATTGCTAAATCGTTCAGTGACTTTTCACTCTTGGTAGAGGGAAGCAAGCGGCGACGGATTCATTTCGCCTTTCTGAAACCGACTGACTACAACGATATCAACTTCAAAGGCACGGTCCGCGATCAGTATAGAAGTTGAAAATATGGCGTCGGGAGGGTAGTGTGGTCCGCGACGAACAACCTTGTACCGGTTTCGCGGCAAAAAATTGTAAGGGAGGGGCGCTATAGCGCAATATAGGTTCAGTGACGCTTCCTTTTTTCAGTGACTCCGCGAAGCTGCAGGAATAAATAGCATGAAAAATCTTCACTTGTACGGTCGTAGAGTTCTTATCGGGGAATCCGCTGGGCGGATGGGGGCGTAGTGTTGAGATGGAGTTAAGTGGGACGTACAAGCTGGGATCGAAGTAGAGTTACATCTAAGGCAGTTGGCGTGTTTTTTTTTCTGATTTTTCTTCACTATCGAGTTACACAGCACCTTGTCGTCTATATGCAGACCCCTAATCCACTATCTGTGATGGCGAATGATTGCAGGCTTTGCCTTTAACTCAGATTTCTTGCTCAAGGGAATTCACCTAACTGGATTTCGATTAATTAATCAATTCACAACTTCTATAAAACAAAATGGTTAGGTTTTTAGACCGATTGCGCCGTGTTTGCTCAACTGGCGGTCACCTATTATCTACCGTATCGGCAGCTGATCACAGATCTTCTTGATGACGAATTTCCGCGAGTACGACATTATGTGCAAAGGATTCGCAATCATTACTATCCTGAATGGAAGGAACAATGATGGCGCGCTATAAAGCTCATCTCAAGCGAAAAGATGAACACATCTGCGTCACTGTTTTCCATTTGGGACCATCGTAGAACCTAGAATTGTGCCAACTTGACTCATTACTGTGCATTTTGTATAAAATTCCTGCTCATCCCTGATGTTTGCGTGCTCCTGTGAAATTCTAGTTCCCCCTCCACCAAGAACAAGACCAGCACTCAAGATGAAACTCAAGATTGCCCTTTTTACATCTTAGAAATCCGCTGAGTGGTTCGAAGTTGATATTTGGGTTCTTCATATTTTATTATTATGGTGTAGTTCACTGCGGACGGTTGGGCGTGTCAGTGCGGCTGCGTTTGGCGCGGTGCCAAACTCGTTCTCACCAGTTGTTGAAGCGGGCAAGTGACAATACTGTATCATATCCTTCGTATTACTCGTTTTCTACCACTTTTTGTCGCATGCGCTTTCAACAAGAAGGCAGAGAACGGCTTTGACGGGGTGACACACTCATACTGCCTGACACGCCCAACCGTCCGCAGCGAAATAGAGTGAAGCACTCTACGTGCGGCCACTGAAAGTCATTGCTCTCGCGGATTTATTAAGGTTAGATTGGGATCTGTGAGAAATGTAAAACTATTATGCTGCCGTATTCGATAGTGAGGTGCTGCCCATGAGGTTTTTATTCAATACTCGTATTTTTATAACACTTTCTTCGCATATCAAATAAAAATTCTTCCAGTATTGAACGGGGAGGATCACAGGTCTAAATGGCCATTTGTAAACGGGGCACGTCGTACGCTGGCGACCCCTAGCGAAGGAATCGTGCTTTGGGCGGAGGTCGTACTTGCCTTTGGGCAAAAATTTTCGGGTTGTTCGCTTTCTCGAATTTTCCCATTTCACTTGCGTTGCATACACTCCTCCACATCTCGATCCCCCCTCCTCACCTCGCTTCCCTGTTCGATATCAGTTTGTTGAGGAGAAAATGGAGAATCTGGGAAGAAAAAAAAAGCTGAGGTGGAAGTGTGACAAGATTCCGGAAAATTTAGGAAGACAGTAGTTGATAGAGTGGAACCGCAGGAGAGGAAGTGTGGGGGAGGTTGGTGGGGTCGTTCTTACTGTAGTACCGTTCTTTTGAAACAGTAAAGTGCTTTTAAATGCTAATTCGTTTTCCGCTCCTAAATCGCCATAAGAAATGGATTTTGCGTTCAAATCTTTGGTGATGACCAATTGCTTGCTTTTCGCGAGAACGGGTTAAGAAAATCATCCAAGTGCTACTTAGACTCAGCTCCTTTGAGCTCGGCGAACAGTTCCTACTAATGTTGGGAGTTCGTCCAAAAGAAGTTTTCCCACGCTACACTCTAGTATCCCTGAGACAGAGTAGGCGTGGCATTCGATCAAAGCATGAGATTGATGTTGTTGGGATAGTTCAGTTTGTAACGTCTGTCGTCTTGCTCTGTATTGAACAAGTTCATGACTACAGTTCTGTCATATGCCAAAATGAAAATATCTTCACAAAACCTTGAGCTACCATGTTCAAGTATGCAGCCACGCCTACCCCATCTCAGGGATTTCGAGTATATGTCCTGACAACTTGAATCGCCAAAAACTGTTTTTTACAATAGCCTTCTGCAAGCGTGCTTCTGAGAAAATAAGGCTTCCATATCTATTCACGAAAAAAACTGTCAAAAACCATTGGAGGTCGCAACTGGAAACAGACTAACCATTCCGCCTTCCATAACGTGGCGTATACCCTTTTATGACCTCTCCTTTTACTGCCCACATTCACCACAATTGCTACAAAAACAAGTCACGATTAAAAATTTATTCTAATGAGTTCAGAATTCAAGGCAGCATCGGTTGACGTTTGTTTCGCCATGCTGGTTGTACACTGATAGATGGCGCATGTAGACGTTTCCATTCGGCAAATTCTTTCTGAAAAACATAACATCGCCTTGGCGAATACCATGCTAGCCATAAGAATTGCTGTTAAGCGAACTTCTTTTTTTAGAAAAAACTTCTTCAAAATTCTGAAAAATCCCTTTGTTCTGCGGCTTATGTGGCTAGATAGCTTGGTCTATGTTCAGGATATCAAAATAGATAGAAAGCCCAGCATTGGCGAGTGTCTTCTTGGGGTATGCCATGCATTCTACTTCCACTCGAAATCCTACAGGCATTCGAATGCGACTTGATGCGCTTTGCTTCGAACAGGATGAATAGTGGAATCCAGTCTGAGGGCAAGTCGGTGCTTCTGTCCCCTCTTCAGGAGTTAGATAGCAGTTAAAAGACCTTATACTCATGGAAGCCCAGTACTGGGAGGCATTTTTCAAAAATGAGAAAAACAGCTGTGTCCCACGCAGCGTTTGCGCTTTGTAACCAGTGTCTTGAACACAAACTGTACACTCCTCCCTACCACTCTCGTGCAAAATGGGTTGGCAGCCAGGGTACAGCATCGTGATGTGTGAAATGGTGATGTCACTACGACCCCCCCCCCCACCATCTCGAGGAAGGGTCTTAGGTACGACCTCCCCTCCTTTCCCAACACCTACCTACCTGTTTCATTTTCTAGTTTTTCACCCGAAGACTTCCGTCGAGGTAGGGGGGGGGTTATAGTACACCACATGGAACAATCACGCAAAAAGTCAGCAAGCAGAAAAAGTCTTCCCAATGTGGCGATTTTTCTCAGAGGCAGAATGCCCCCACCCTCCCCAAACTAGTGGACCCCCTCTATGTGTACCACACAACGATGCTGTACCCTGCTGGCAGCTGTGCAAGCGTAACACTTTCTTCGCTCGAAAGAGCGCGGAAATGAGGCTGAGGGATAGTGATTTCCCGGGTGTTCCTCAAGGTGCAGCATTAGCGTCGGCACCGAAATCCCGCAACGAACATGCAGTTAGAGGTAGAGAACAACTAGAAGTGAAGGGCGCAGACAAGTAGCGCGTTCGGCTATGGTTAGATTGTGAATGACCGCGCAGCAGCGTGTGTGAAGACCAGCAATGGCACCAGGGTAACACTACCTTCCGCCCCGGAAGAGAGTAGCTAGTTACTGCAGCTGCGGTCCCTTCACCGTGCACATGGCAAAGACCTTGATCCGCGAAGGCGGATGCTCCAGCTGTCTTCGAAGGGAGGGTTAGCAGTTCATTAGAGATTTTTTGGGCATACGAATATAGTACGTAATGACACATATCTACTGTAGGCATCAGAAGAGAAACCATACCCAAGCTTCTTCTTGAACTTTTTTGTATCTTTTCACTGGACAGCTTCCTGGCCAACAACTCGCATTTCCACAAGGGTAAAGTTGGTGATAAACTCTGAATGGTTAAGTTTACGTCATAGCTGGAACAAAGGCATAAAAACCACGCGTAAATTGTCAAAATAGGCAGGTTTCTCCCACAACCTCTAAATTACTGAGTTTCAGAGTTCCCAACTATCAGAGTGAGATTTCACTTTCGAAGAAAACTCAAATACCATTCTCTTTTTGAAATACTCCGGTGTGTAGTGACGAATAGCTTCATCTATTTTGCGCTCGGTCTGAA